TGTGACAATGTCACTTATGCCTTAAAATATGACATGTTAAACGTCGTATGTTTAGTCAGCACTTGTATTCATTTCAATATGTTCTTTGTAAAAAGTTCTTTTAGTATGAATATATTTTATATAGTACCAGTAACATGCTTTCAATTTATACCCCTCCTCCCTAGTATCAGTTCCTATCCCCAAAAAAAAACAGGAAAAAGTTGTGAGTGCCGTCGATGCAAAGGGAAACAAGCCCCCCTGCTCTACAACATCTACACACACGACTTACCGAAGACAGCTGACACAATACTGGCCCTATATGCAGACGACACTGCTATAGCCGCCAAGCATCGACGACCCGAGATCGTCCGTAGGAGACTTAAGGATGAACTGGACCACATCCAGGACTGGTGCGTGAAATGGAAAATCCGCATCAACGTCCAGAAGACGCAGGCAATCTTCATCCAACGAAGAAGGATTGCGAGACCTCCCGAAGCATCCATCTTCGACGAAGATATCCAGTGGAGCGACAAAGTCAAATATCTGGGGATCATATTTGACAAGTCCCTCACCTGGAAAGATCTCATAGAAAGACCAGAGCAGCCATGACCCAGCTCTACCCATTACTGGGTAGACACAGCTGGATGCCGCTAGCGACCAAGCTACGGCTGATCAAGGCCATCGCCAGACCTCAGCTCGCTTATGCCTCCGCCCTCTGGGGGTACGCTGCTCCTAGCTACCGCAAGCGACTTGCTGCTCTAGAGATGAAGCTACTCCGGATCGCTGCCAGTGCACCATCCTACGTAAGAAACTCAACCTTGCGTAGAGACCTGCATTGGGACACCATTCACGAGTACATGATGAAAAAGCAGAGAAGACCTTCCAGAAAGCTCAGGACCACCCGAACGAGCAGCTACGACTCCTCATGGACTACGATCCGGATGAGAGGTCTCGCAACCGCAGAGCCAAGTACCCTAGACCCAAGTCATAGTTGGCAGGCGCTAACTGGAACCTTGACTAAGAGTACTCGCGGTTGCTACCCCCCCCCCCCTCGCGTGGAAGCAGAGGACGAGGACCAGGACGCCCAGGACCAGAACCCATCAGGACCAGGACCCACCAGGACCAGGACCAGGTAACAGACAAGTAGAGGACTTGAAACTCTTGATTTTTCGAAAACAAGAGTTTCAAGAGAACGCAGCAAACCCTCTATCGATGCTCGCTTAACGACAATTATAGAACTGTGCGAGGTAAAGGGAACCAACCCGGCGTACCCAAAGACTGAAACACATGAGGAGACGTTGTAGCAGACCGCAGGTCACGCACAACACATGGCCTTACCGAGACGCTGATGAGTCGGGCCACGCGGAGGTTAGGGTTTAGTGGGTATTAGCTGGTCTCCTCAAGACAACCTGGAGTCCCACACACGCCATAGCTCGGGTTATGGTAAGGTGCATAAACGCATTCCCCCCTCACAAAAAAAAATCCCTCCATTGCCCGAAGCAGAAGCATATCCCATACTTCAGTGCACACAATACTACGCTCGGAGAACATGCATCCTTACCATGTACAAAAAGTACAAGAATTGTTTCCAAGCGGCTATGCGCAGCGGGTTGAATTTTGTGAGAATATGTTGAGAAGATGCGAAGAGGATGAAACTTTTTTTGACAGCATCTTATGGACAGATGAATCCAACTTTAACCGAAATGAAATACAGTAATACCCCGACTTACGCTACCCCGTTTTACGCGAATTCGGAGATACGCGGTTTTTCATTTTGATTGCCGCGCGCAGCGCGCATCGGCTCTCTCGCTCCGCGCGCGCATCGGCTCTCTCGCTCCGCGCGCGCATCGGCTCTCTCGCTCCGCGCGCGCATCGGCTCTCTCGCTCCGCCCACTCAGTGTTCAATTTGCATCAGGTTTAAACGTGTTTCGCGTGCAATTGTTTTACGTGCGCAGTGCGTTTTACTTATAATCTCTAATTATGTCGTCTAAAAGAACAAAAAATGAGTCATTTGAGCCTAACAAGAAAAGAAAAACACTGTCTTTGGAGTGTAAACTGAATATAATTAAAGACTTTGAAGCAAAAATGAAAATTTGTGAATTGGCGAAGAAATTTGACCTTCCGGAATCAACAGTCCGAACGGTTGTAAAAGGTAAAGAAAAAATTATGAACGCTGTGAAAGACTCTCAATCTTTGAATTCAAGTATCATCCGTAAGCGTCACGGTATTATCGCACAGATGGAAACATTGCTACAGTCATGGTGTGATAATCAAGTAAGAGTGAAAAATTGTCCTGTTGATCAAAATACAGTGTGCTTTCAAGCAAAGCAGATTTTTGAAAAACTAAAAGAAGAAGCTGGGGAGGCGGCTGAAAATGAAGTGTTTAAAGCTAGTAACGGCTGGTTCAGCCGATTTAAGAGTCGTTGTAATTGGCATAGCATCGCAGAGAGTGGAGAAGCGGCAAGCGCTGATAAAGAAGCTGCATCTCTCTATCCAGAAAAACTCAAAACAATGATAGATGAAGGTGGCTACACTAGCCAAACTATTTTCAACGTAGATGAAACAGGTCTTTTTTGGAAGAAAATGCCTAAAAGAACTTTTATTGCGCGTGAAGAGAAAACTTTTCCAGGTTTTAAAGCCGCCAAGGATCGATTAACAGTGATGGTTGGTGCGAATGCAGCTGGAGATTGTAAATTAAAACCTCTCTTAGTTTATCGCTCAGAAAATCCAAGGGCCTTAAAAAATAAATCCAAAGCTGGTTTGCCTGTCATTTGGAAGTCTAATGCGAAAGCTTGGGTGACAGCTTCTCTTTTTGAAGACTGGTTTGGCCATCATTTTATTCCTGAAGTCGAACGTTACTGCCGATTAAAAGAAATCCCATTTAAAGTGATGCTACTAATTGACAATGCACCAGGTCATCCTCCCGCAACTCTAATTAATTTCGATCCACGTGTGGAAGTTGTATTTTTGCCACCAAACACTACCAGCTTGCTTCAACCAATGGACCAGGGAGTCATTAAAACATTTAAAGCTTACTACACAAGGCGGTCATTTGCACATCTACATGAAGCTATGAGACAAAACAATGAGCTTTCTGTTAAAGACTTTTGGAAGCAATTCAATGTTTTAGATGCTGTAAGAATTATTGGACAATCTTGGAATGAGGTTTCACAAAAAACTCTCAATGGTGTCTGGAAAAAACTGTGTCCATTTTTTTTCACCTCTGAAACTCAAGGAGAAACCATTTCAGATCCTGAACAAATCGATAGCATAATAGAAGAAGTGGTCGATATCGCCAAGCAATTAAATTTAGAGGTCGATAATGATGACGTTCAAGAATTGCTAGATTCACACAATCAAGAGCTAACAATTGACGAGGTTATAGAAATGCGTAAGTATGAGCAAGACATTGAACAAACTGATTCGCTAGACCCAGTTGAATCGGTAAATCAAATGACAATTGCAAACTTAACAGAAGGACTCAATTCAATTGAAAAGGGGTTACAAATTTTAGAAAAAATTGATTCTAATGAAGAACGCGTGTCTACTACAAAACGAGGGATAAAAAAATTACTGGTATGCTACGAGGAAATTTTACGTGAAAAGAAGAAAAATTTAACTCGTCAGGCAACATTGTTAGAATATATAAAGCCTTCGACATCAAAATAACTTCGGTTTAGCTTACTTTATTCATAACAATGTAATTTTTTTTATTATCCTACACTTTATTAAACATTTTTCTTCTAAATTATTGTTTTCTTTAAACTCTGGTCCCGATTAAACAAACTTTATATGTATTTATATGCAACATTGAACCCCGACTTACGCGAATTCGACTTACACGGCAACCGTTCGGACCCACCTATCGCGTAAGTCCGGGGTATTACTGTACTCAACATGCACAATTTCCATTCATGGAGCGTGAAAATCCACACGCTATTCGCCGACACAGCTTTCAACTTCAGTTCGGCGTCAATTTATGGGCTGGAGTGCTCAACAAAAAATTAAGTGGACCATATGAATTGCCCGCCAGGTTGAACGGTCAGTCATATCTTGCTTTTCTACGAAGCAGTTTGCATGAGCTGCTAGAGGATGTACCTTTAGAGGTTCTAAGCCGTATGTATTTTCAATGCGATGGTGCCCCATGCCACTTTGCACGGGATGTACGGCATTACTTAGACAGTGCCTTTCCTGGGCGTTGGATAGGCAGGGATGGACACAAACGATGGCCTCCAAGGTCACCCGATTTAAATCCTCTAGTTTTTTTGATACGGGGGTTTTATAAGGGGATAATCTATACATCTGAATATGCAAATGTCAACCAACTGCGCCAGAAAATTGATGAAGCAAACATAAAAATTAAGGAAAACGCAAATTCATTTCAAATACTAAAGGACAAGTTTATTAGGTGTCGCTTGTGTATAGAAAATAATGGAGGCCATTTCGAACACGTTCTTTAAAACTTAGTTAAACTTCCACATTTGTCAGAAAATCGGCATAAAGAGCGGATAAACACAATAGGTTCTCTACTTGTAGGTGGAATCATCACAACGAATGTGACATGATACACTCACACTCAAATTTTCATGGTTTATTCTACATGGATCAAAATAGTTTTCATAATAAAATGAATAATAAAATACACCCTCAATTTTTTAACGCCCTCCAAAGTTGAGGGATGGAAAAGATTTTTCACCAAAAAAAATGAATTTAAGATTTCTAATAAGCTCTGTTAAAAAGTGCCATAATCATTGCTAAAACTAACCATTTAGCTCATCTCAGAAAAAAATCACAGCTCTAAATCGAATGGTTTAGTTGTAATTGCGATTAGTTCATTAACCCGTTTTCTTTTTTCAAATTTCGCAAAATTGCAAATATTTCCTGAACTATAAAATTTCGGACCACACATATAGGGGTTCATTCGGTAGGTTTTGAGGCTGACTTCCGTTGATCCACTACTAACATTACACCCTGTATATGCGGCCAGACAATGGAGTCCAATCACTGCGTTAGTTTAAGCGCAAACATCGAGCTAATAAGCATATACCCTAATTACAGTAATGTATTGTTTCGATTACCGGCGAAATTATGCCAACGAAAAATATTGTCAATTAATCAAATTTACCTTTTTTATCGAGCCAATAGGACGCGCATATGTGTAAATGCCATCTCGGTCTGGGATACAAGAAAGTAATTGTTTGGCGCTGATAAGGGATATTTCAGATCCCCTTCACAACCACTAGGCAAACAGAGCCAGATATACTTATTTGCTGTCAGTATATTCGTTGTATCAATGAAGTAAACACTAAAATCGTTTAAAATGTACCATAAGGCCTTTATCATACTGATACTGTGTAGTTTGTACCCTGTGAATTCGGGTAAGTACCAATGTTTATTACTTTTATAAAGTTAATGTGTTCAGGTGTCCTGATAGGTCATTATTTAGAGGGAACATGGCTCCTTTAATTTTGAACACAACTAGCGAATTAATGAATGAAGTGAGGCAATTTCAACTTTTCCATGATCTCCAATTAGACGGGGCATAAAGATAAAGCTCGCATTTGTGAGAGACTTTTTTTCGAAATCACATTTGTCGGATGTCCCTTGGGACCAATAGGTTGCTGAGCGGTAACCAGTTTCCTTGAACGAATTACAAAAAACTGTTTTTACTTCCTACGTTACTTTGCCAGAAAATTGATCCAGTGCCAGCGACGGCGGAGAAAAGGGCCAAAAACGATAAAAATTCTGTAAAGACGTAAATTCGTAAACATGTGCCATTTTTTATTTCGTTTGAGCCACGCAACAAACACCACTATGCACTCACGCGTTACCGACTGACACATTGACTGAATACAACTGAATAAAATTGTAGTAAAACCATCGTGATAAGCGTTTCAAATTCTTTCGCTTTTCTGTTTCCGATGCGATGAACCGATAAGGCGAATTATATCCGGTGTTGGCAAACACGAGCACATAATATTATTATTGAGACAGGGCGGTACTCAAACTTCTAAAGGGCTATAACTTTGTTACTTTAATTTTACCGCAAAAATGTTAAAGGAGAAAAACATTTCTTTTGATCAGATCTACTCACTGTTAAAATAAATGACTCAACTTCGAAGTTATACAAATGGCTATTAAGACATTAATGATTAATAATAATATTTTTTGAATTGTGAATCAATTAAGCGAATTCATATACGCCATTTCCATAATCATATGAGGCCTAAATTAGTTGCTGTATTGCAAGACTTTTATTGGACTATACGATACTGCTGTCAATTCGAGACACACCCTGTATGTTGCACATTTCGACTCGTCCAGCACGTGGCAGCGTCGTAATCGCCTGCCATTGTATTCTTCTACGTTGCAACGCATGATCTAAATCATATTAGAATTTCAAGCTCAATCTTAGTAACCTCCCTAGTAGTAAAATCGGATGATGAACATCTGATGTTGTTATCTAAAATGTGTACATTCTCACTTTTTAAATAATGATTATCGACTATTATACTATTTATGGCTGTTAAATCAGTATCGGATCAAGTACAACATAATCTTTATGCATAATTGTAATCAACACTTCATAATTTTATTACATCGTAATGTAATTCCATGAAGATAATCTCCAATTGAGATAAATAAATAGGTCAATACACCCTGTAGATATTTGCTTGGATTAAATTTTGTAATGTACAGGATCTTCCTTAATGATATGCGAATATTTGAGGGTTTGAATCTACATGAAAAATTAATGTTAGTTTGCTTTATAAACTATAGTCCAAAAATATCTCCTTGAAGTTTTAGGAAAAAAACGGCAATTAATATTTTCCGAACCGCTTCAGATATTTCACTGATATTGAGTACGTAGTGAAAATGAATGAAGTTGCATATTTTTCAATGCAAAAATAATTTTTAGCTTTAACAGTGGCGTGCGTACGGGTATTGACTTCGATATTTTTTAAGAAAAAAATGATACGCCAATGGTTTTTTTCCAAATAAAAATTATTTTTAAATTCGCATATCCTTAAGGGTATAAATAGCGAGCGTACTAAACAAGGCGAAAGCCTCGCATACGTGGGCGAAATTTTCTGAATTATCGGGGTTGGAAGCATGTAAATGTACCACCGCCAAAAAATTGGGATACACCCTCCCCCACGTCCAACAGGCACCAACACAAAAGGCCATCGAAGTTGTCGAAACGTTGGTAAAAATTTACTTTTACATCTATGGTATAATTTGCAGAATTAATTTATTGTATCCTATTCGAGAAACTGACCTGTATATTAGCATATCAATCATTAATTTAAAGCAATACTTCCTTATTGTCGCAAGCAATTGTCACAAAAAATGATTTTGATAATCGTCATCTAGCATATTATAATCGTTACAAATTACTCATGCATCATTTTTTGTCAAGGAAGCATTATCATCGTAAAACATGATTGTATAGATATTTTGCGTAACAAGGTTATGTCTGACCTTAAGATGTTTTAATATTGTATGGTAATTTCCATTATGTGGATGTATATATAGTTATAATGCACCAGAAACGTAAAAGCTAGAAAATTCTGCGATTTACATGTAAACAAAAAATAACATCTAATACCGTTTACTCATACATGCATGTTACACACTAGACACAATAATATACCCAGTGACATTAGAAATGTTACACCCAGAAAAGAAAATCTCTTCTACTTGATCTCACATTTAACAAATGCTCCGCCATATTGAAAGATTGATTTTAAATTCCAGCGTTAGAAAGTAACCATAAGAACCTTCAAAATGAGTGATGACCCTTCGCTGTATTAAAAAGATGTTCCAAGATGGCGCCCGTCTGCGATCCTAGAATTTTCACCTGTCACGTTTACGCTAATATACTTTGAAGTTGAGTCATTAATTTTCAGTTAATGATTGTAGAAGGAAGATAAACCAAAATATGTGTGTAAAAATAAAAAATAAAATAAAAAAAAAATGTTACCTTGTTTTATAAAGTATCCTCCCGACAAGTATTTCAGTGCGGACCTGTATTTGATCGTGCGGTCTTGGAGCACCGGCATGCCCTCCCCTGTGAGGTCTTAAGTCACCTGATTCAAGAGCCCTTTGTACTACATTAACAAAGGCACGAGGGGTGGGTTGCACTAGATTGGGAAACCGATCCGCATAAATCCGTGATGCCGCGTAAATAAGAATCATGTCCACAATTTCAGCATTTTCGTAAACATGTGCCATTTTTTACTTCGTTTGAGCCACGCAACAAACACCACTATTCACTCACGCGTTACCGACTGGCACTGACTGAATACAACTGAATAAAATTGTAAAAACATCGTTCCAAATTCTTTCGCTTTTTTGTTTCCGATGCGATGAACCGATAAGGCGGATTATATCCGTTGTTGCCAAACACGAGCACATAATATTATTATTGAGACAGGACGGTACTCAAACTTCCAAAGGGCTATAACTTGGTTACTTTAATTTTACCAGAAAAATGGTGAAGGAAAAAACATTTCTTTTGATCAGATCTACTCACTGTTAAAATAAATGACTCAACTTTGAAGTCACCCTGTGTAGTGTTCGAGTATAAATGTTAACACCTCAAATTTCAGCTTGCTCACTTGACCCATTCCTCCCCAAATAATCTCATTTCAGTCATCTCTCATTCTCAGTGACAAAAACAGGTAAACACCTACCTATGTTTGTCCGGTTTTAATAATTTTTGGCATATATGTTCAGTGTCCCTTACTGGTAAAATGATAAAATTTTCAGCTTGATTCGTCAACTGGTTTAGTAATGTGTTGAGGATCCACGATTTCTTATACACTCATTAAAAAAAATTTTCTAATGAACATACATAGGTGTTTACCCTTTTTTGTCACTCTGTATATTTTTAAACAACTATACTGATGCTGTTATCATCAGAAATCCATAGGCCCTGATTTTTTACAGAGGTAGAGAATATTTGTGACTCGGATGTATGTGCTCAAGTATGTGAACCAACAGAGAATTCTTTCAAATGTAGCTGCTTCAAAGGTTACATATTAATGGAAGATGGAATATCATGCAAACCACAAAAAAGGGCATTAAAGAAAGGTGGGAGGTAAGTTGAAAAATCAGAGTTTTGGGTTTGAACCCCAGCTATCTGCACAGGCCGGAAATGTACAGTTGACGACAAACTTATAGTATCTATTTACTTTTTTTTCTACCTCGTCAAGGTACCAACACGCGCATAGTATGTTTATGATATGATACAGGTCTAAATAATGATCAAAGCTCGTTCATTTAGATAAATTATACATTTTGTCAATGTGCAATAACGTAAAAAGCACTCAACGAATGCAAAATAAATCGTTTTGTTTCGATACGGACATAGCAACAAATTCACATAATTTGGCTGTGCCATATTACCCACTCGACACCGCTACCCCCCCCTCCTTCCCGCGCCCCTCACCTCCACAAGTTAGCAGGCCGCAGACAAGCCGCCAAAGGAACCGCCTTGGCTTTTTAGCGGCAGTCGATAAAATACGTAAACATACACTATACGTTTGTCGTCAACTATATTTGCAGTGGCCTTTCTTCAATTTTTTTTCTTCTAGTTGCCATTACGCAAAAACCTTAACAAACCCATAGATCTTTTTTATGACTCCATTTCAGGAAAGAATGCGTAAAACTGAGTATCGGAAAAAATAATGAGTGAAAAATGATCTCTTTCCAGAAATTTTTTCTGGATACGCCGGTGGATTGTCTTATGATACAGTATACAATGTACTTGTTATAGGTGTGAGCAGAACAACCCATGCGATCATGATTGTACTGATACAGGAACAGCCATAAAATGCTCTTGTAGACAAGGCTACAAATTAGGGGAAGACGAAAGGACATGTAAAGGTAAAGTCATTTCTCTATGTAAAACTCGTTCTTTCCACCACAAATGCCGTATAAAGTCGTTTCAAGTCCTAAGGATGTGAACTTATATCCGTAGTTCCATCATAACCCATCGTGTCAGTTGTTCTCATACTCGCAATCCATATAGCAACCTTCAAGCCTGCAACCCACAAATAACGCTAGTGAAAGGCGGGTTGCAGAAATTTAGGTAGACAGAAACACTGACATTGGGTGATTCCTCCGTAGGTGGTATTGATAGCGTGTGAGCAACCTGAACAGAGTATATAGTAGTAGTTACACCAAAACAAAGGGTGACCCATTAAATCATAAAAATGTACAGTGTGTAGAGTTTAAGAATGCTCAAATAATTTGATATTCTGTATTAATTTACCTTCCGATTATATTAATGTTTCAGATATCGATGAATGTGCTATGCATATCCACGAATGTACGGCCGCAGAAGAATGTATCAACGAAGTCGGCTCATACTCGTGCTACGATGCTTCTGAAGTTTTAGGAGAGAACGAAGACACCGATTTCGACAAAAAGTGTCCACCTGGCTACAAGTTTGACTTGGAAAAGGAAACGTGTGATGGTATGTTACCGACAAAGAACATGGTGTGCGATCAAGCCAATCCACAGCTCTTCTGATGACAGACCAAATCGAACGAGGGAGTTTTGAAATCATATTGTCGCTGCAAGCTTTTGAAAAGATGTGTTCAATTGGGACTGATACTTCGTCCATGAGAGTTTTGGCCACTCTATATATCTTACAGAATTGAAATGTTGTTAAATGTACTCATTAGGATGAGATAAGGATGTAAATAAAGACCAAACAGCTGTGACCGATCGTGTGGTGCGGAAGCCCTAAAGGCGAAGCTAAGTATGTGAAGGGACCACCAGGGAAGAGAACCACGTCCACTTGCTCTCAGTGAAACTACTCCCTCGTTTTCAATAACAATCTGATCATTAAATATTTCTTAATTCCAATAGGAACTCGTTTTTGGTCAAACTAACGATGCTGTGCTGTTTCGTGCTTTTTGGCGCTACTCATAAGAATCATCTCTGCGAAGCGCCATCTACACAACTAGCTACTATTCACTGTTCGCAGTTGTCGATGTTACTTGTAGATGGCGCTTCGCGCTGTCTTCTTTCATTGTTTTGTATCTTTTCTGTCTTCCCGTATATTAAATTTTTCCTGTTTCCGATTTTTAGATATCAATGAATGTCAATTTGAACTTATGTGTGTGCAACCAAAATCTTGTAAAAACACGATAGGCTCCTTCATTTGCGAAGAGGATACGCCCCAATGTCCTCCAGGATTTTACTACAAAACAGAAACGAAGCACTGTGAAGGTACGAGAATATTTTTATTTTATTTACGAAGGTTTATTGACAGATCTCAATCGCATCCCAATGTTTGCATTTGAATAATCACGAGTATACAGGGTGTCCGCAATGTTGGGGTTTTCCTTTTCAGAAACAACTACCCTTGAAATAACAAAGGTAATGTGTAGTGAAACGAGGGCGACCAAGTAAAAAAAAATAAAGGAAAAAGTACTCACTCTCCAGTTGACGAGAAGGGCTAAGTACGTCTCTGCCCGAAATCATACCGCTCCAACAGAAAAATGAAATCAGCTGATGCGCTACCGAGCAGACGCAGAAACCACATTGATTGTCTTACACTTAATGGCACATCTTCTAACAAGGAAGGCAAAATGTTGCGTAAAAAGTCTAGGTATTGCATCCCGTCCAATCTATTTGGGAGAATAAATGGTCCAATGAGCATACCGTTCACCATGCGAGCCCAAACATTCACCGAAAATGTTTGTTGAAAATGTGCCCGAAGGACAGCGTGCGGATTTTCTACTGACCAAACATGAGTGTTGCGAAAGTTATTCACCCCATTACGCGTGAACGTAGATTCGTCTGTCACCAATATGCACTGCAAAAAGTCCGGATTATTGTCATGTTGATGCAACAACCACTCACAAAACCGCACTCTTGCTGGAAAATCGTCAGGTTGAAGGGCTTGCCACACTTTAGTTTTTGATACTTGCACTTCTCTAGCCACGTCTCTAGTGCTTGTTGAGAGATTCTCGTCTACGCGATTACCTCTACATGCGTGACCGTAACCGTCGGTTGAAGGTTGCATACTTGCCTGACACACTGACCCCGACCCAGTTCTGCCGTCGGGTTGAGACCTTGTACCAATCGGTGATGTCCCGGGTCGCGGCTACAGGACGGTATTCAGATATTTTTAATGTTGCAGAGCCCTTTATCTCGGTTCCCTTAAGACATTGGTGTATATGGTACTAAGAAAAATTGCTCATGTTTTCAAGATCTACACGTCGTGTAAAGGAAAACCCCAACTTTGCGGACACCCTGTATATTTTAAACTTTTTTTCCTCTTTTTATATTAGTGCTTACCAAGTTTCGCAATTTTGATATTCAAGATTTGAGACCATGCGCTCATAAAAAAGACAGAACTCTTTCCTAATAGTGGAGCAGCATGCAGAGCCGCTCAAAAATAGTCGGTAAATACAGATAAGACCCAATTATTGAAATGAATGAAAACATCTCTTGCTGGGTGTTACCATTGATAACTTGGAAGCCACATGTGAAATTGCTGTCATAAGTTACGTAAAAGTGCTTATGGTATGGGACTCAAAGTTGGAGATGCAGCTGATCGATAGAGTTTTCGTCTCCAGAAATATTAGAATCATTGCAAATCTTAATTGCCGTGAATTTTGTAGGGATTATATTCAATCCGTCAGAATTGTAACATTTATTTACATTTATAAATTATCAATATTTGTGTAATAAAATAAATTGATTCTTCAATAGCAGAGAAGAACACTATTATCAAACTTGATCTAAAGATCTGCTGATACCCCCTCAACATCGTACTGCAACATATCTGAAACCTTTGATTTACATGGGATATAAAATATTCAATAATTTAAAAGGAGATATTCAAAAAGCACCGACATTAAGCGGTTTCAAAAATCAGTTGAAATCATTCCTAACAGATGAATGTTTTTCCTTGTGACTTATTATAGTCTGTGTCTATTTAACAAATGAAATAAATGTATTATTATAATTGTTATTTTAAAGAAAAGTCCGGCTTAAGTTAACTCATAATATCTTAATCCAGATATCGACGAATGCAAAGGAGATGAACAATTGTGCAAAGAAAACGAGAAATGTCTGAATCAACCTGGAGGCTATACGTGTATCAAGATAACAACAACCACTGAGGCTCCAACAACAACAACCCAGGCCACCACGACCACGACAAAGAGGCCTCCAGTTAAGTGCCCTGTGGGATACAAATTCGTGGAGGAGAGATACGCTTGTGAAGGTAAATTATATAGATACATAACTGTCTTTTAACTGCTATTCCTTTCGAATCCAATTTATGCAATTCTGAAAAGGATCAGGGACTATTAACTAGCTTTTGGGCCATGAAAATAACTCAAATTTCAAGTCGATCGCATCTATTTATCTATCTATATTCAAAATGCGACATCGAGGGAGGGCGTGGAGTTATCAAACCAATAACTAAAATTGTTCCAGATATAAACGAATGCTCAACCGGAATGCATACTTGTGATGTGGCAGAAAGATGCGACAACACCATTGGTTCCTATCACTGCTCAAGAATATACGGATGTGGAACAGGCTATACTTTGAACCTCCATAACGGTCTTTGCGAAGATCACGATGAGTGTCAGTTGGGTACCCACAACTGCAATAATTTGGGCCCCAACTTCAGATGCAGAAACATCGCTGGATCCTACAGATGCGAACCAGTCAGGTTAAGGCCTTCGGGTAACACAACTACAACATCTACATCTACCAAACCCACTACAAAGATAACCACGTAAGGTTAATTTATGTCACATTATTATCCCAGCTAGCGCAAGCACGTCACAATGACGTCGAAGTTTGATGATAAACCGTCAACCGACGTGATTGTTCCAAATATCGACGTTGTAATGACGTCTACTAAATCTCCAATTATGTACGTGTACTGGAGGACGTTGTTATGACGTGTTTTTTATATATATCTTGTATGTAGCCAGTGTTACAATGCTCTATGGTGCTCCGTCTGTGTAATACTGCTAATAACACACAGCATATTACTGTTTGAAGCGGCTGAAACTGGTTATCATTATAAATAATAGACGTCATTTTCACGTCCAGCAAGTGACGTATTATTGACGTTATTGAGGTCATTATCACATTACTTTTACGTCATTCAACTCAATATTTCTTGTCATTCCATGACCGGTTTGTAACGTCATTTTCACGTGCTTGTGCTACCTGGGATCAGCGAGCTATCTTATATCCAATGGATCAGTGGGATAAGGAAGACAATGCTCATGTTTTATTTGCAGGTATCCTAGAAAAAACGGCAGTGGAATTTGCAATATACTATGATCTCCTGATTAAGAGCTCCCACAGTTTTTGAAATAAGGGAGTTTGATTAGCGATCAGCAATATACAGGGTGTTAGGGAAATAATATTCGTCACTTTAAGAGGTTATTCCTTGCATTATTATTCTAAGCAAAAAGTTCATTATAACTTATGTCCGAAAATCAATCGTTTTCGAGGGAAGCGAGTCGTAAATAATTAAATTTTCTCAGACATTTGGCAACGCTGCAACGCAACCGCGATACGAGCGCACGACGTACCGCAACTGATCCATCGAATTATTTACGTTTATATGATATTTTTGTTGAAAATATGCCTTGAATTATTGACTACTTTTAAGCAATTTTTTGTGGCTATTTTTTATGTAATAATGCTTTCAGTACAGTACATTTACTTTAAAAAAATGACAGAACTTACCGGTACGTAGCGATACACACCGCCAATTCCCACGATTATCAGTCACTTGTTTGAAACGATGCGATGCACGAAAAAAGAAAAAAACATCCGTAAATCACATAAAATTACAGTTAAATGTATTAGTAATCACAATAGATGTTCTTCGGTTTCCACTCCAACTTCACGATGTCTTCCGCGATTGTTAAAATTAGGCACTACGTTCCCTGTGTCCATAAGTCTTTGGGATACTTCTACGAATGTTCTTCTACCTTGTAGCCTTCGATCAGGAAAACGTTCTTTGTAAATGCGCCTAACCTCTTCTCAGTTGCAATGAGCATCTCGGTAAATAATAAGCATATCGTGATACTCGCGTACCGAAAACATCTCTTTCGTATCAAAATTCACGCACTGATTCAGTAATACATACTGAATAATAAAATGTGATTTCAATTCGGGTAAACACTACTGGCATTAACGTGTCCAAGAAACTATCAAATAGTTTTTTCCCCGATGTAGGTATTTATTTTTTGCCTACCGGCACGACGTCGGTTGCGATGACACATGGCAGTGCAGGCGGAGAACGACGTTGTCAGTTGTGTGAGGGATTTTGTTTGTTTGTTTTTCTTCGGAATAGTATTGATATACATTTTACGCTATTAGGCATATGCATTCAAATTATTACGGTGCAAAATTATGTCCGAAACGGTTGATTTTCGGACATAGGTTATAATACACTTTTTTGCTTAGAATAATGCAAGGAATCACCTCTTAAAGTTACGAATATTATTTCCCCAACACCCTGTAGATGTCTGCTGATGTTATAGCTGAAAACGTTATAATGGAACGAGTTTTAATTTCAACGTATTTGCACATTGGGAAGGATATACAGGGTGATTCACAAGTCGTGACCAAAAATGAAATATCGTACACAGGACCGTATTTTAAGGGGGGCCTTCTATGTAAAATTATTCCCTCGAGGGCTTAATTAAAAAGATACGGGGTATTGAAGTTTAAAAATAAAAAACGTTTTTTAATATCTCCAAAACCGTCCACTAGAATGAACTAAAATTTGGTATGTGGATTTACTTAAGTATTGTCCACATTCAAAAGTCTTTACTAAAAAGTAACGTGCACCAGTGACGGAGATACAGGGGATTAGTGCCATTATTTTCCCATATAAAAATAGTACGCCACTTTTTTTCGGAACGCGTTAGTTTTCGAATTCTACCTTCAATTTGCTAGAAAAAATTGTGAGTGCACTGTTTTCGTAAAAATAAAAGAATTTAGATCATTCACGAAAAGTCGATAAAAAAACAGTGGCGTGCTATTTTTATTTGGAAAAGTAATGCCACTAATCCCCTGTATCTCCGCCACTGGTGCACTTTAATTTTGAGTAAATACTTTTGAATGTGGACAATACTTGGTTCTATCCACATACCGAATTCTAGTTCATTCCAGTTGACGGTTTTGAAGATATTGAAAAAATGTTTTTTATTTTCAAACTTCAACACCCTGTATCTTTTTAATGAGGCCTTCGAGGAAAAAATGTTACATAGACGACCCCCCTTAAAATGCGGTTCTGTGTATGATGTTTCATTTTTGGTCACGACTTCTGAATCATCCTGTATACAAAATACGTTTCTGCTGAATATCCATCCAAAAAGCTCGACAATCACGCAGTTTTTACCAAAAAAATGGTTCCGGGTTTCGGGAAATCAAAAAAGGAATTCATATGACATAGACTTAGAAGTCATTGAGAGGCCAGATCCGTAAATGCAACCACCATTATTGACACCTGATTCGTAATCAGCACGAAATTCTAAATGTTAGTCAATTTTCATACATGACATCTGCGAAGTACCTACACATATTTACCAAAGGAATTGCTATTCAGTTTTTTATAAACTACTTCATTGAAGCACGACTATTTAAATATAATTTTTCTGCGATAAATTATTTTTCCAACTTACAGAAGCACCACAAATCCAACACCATCAACAACAAGCACTACAACCACAACAGAGAGCATAGGAATGACTTCCTCCAAAGCTCACTTCCAACCTTCTGTCTTCAGACAATACCCCCAGATACCTCCTAGGCCAGTTTACCCGCAGTACCCACAACCAGTTCCTCCAATACCCCCCAGACCGGTTTACCACCCGACCCCTGTGGTCACTCCTCAAAGGCCCGTCTACCCTCAATCTACACCTTCTACATATCCGAGTACAACCCGGTCTTCTTCACAGACGTTTCCGTCGATAGTTTTTCAACCTCCTCCAAGTACGCCCTCCGTACTTCCAAAGTACGTTCCAAGACAGTCGGTGCCAGTGCCCATTCCCAGTAGGCCAGCTTCTCCTCATCCAGTTACTCCATACTATAATGTGATCAGTGGCCAAAGCGTGATCAGTGGACAACTGAAGAAGTGTCTCCGAGGATACCGGATGAATTTGAAGGGAGAATGTGAAGGTATGCATAGTCGTACAATATTTCTATTGTAACACCCATAAATAGTTAGCCAAGGCTTGATACATCTTCAGTCGATACGCTCAAATCACAAAAAATAACAAGTTTGTGAACAATCGGTTTTAATCGTCTAACTCCGGTAATAATCTAAACTGTTTAAGAAAAACAAAGGACAGTCGTGGACATGTCCACAATAAAGCAAGCAAAAGGAACAGAAACAGAAGGATTACCCAGCTAGCACGTCATAATGACGTCGAAATTTGGTGATGACTCGTCAACTGGCGTGATTGCTCCGAATATCGACGTCGTAATGACGTCTACTAAATGTCCAGTTGTGTACGTGTATTATATACTATATTTTTAAGTGTAGGATGTTTAGAATCAATGTCTCCGATTCAAAACGGATCAAGTCAGCGGGCAGAGAGATAATCATCACATTCCAACCCTCATCGACGTTCACTCAAAGTATCTCAAAATTGACTGGAATGACAAATTATTAAGATGCCAACTGACGTTGTAATGTGTATGAGAGAAAAGCGCGAAAATAGTGCAATACATATGTTAGAAAGAGAGAGAAGCGCCACGTTGCCTAGCAACCCGTGTCATGAAGCCACGTACGTATAGTTTATTCACTAAATCAAAGCAGTTACTTCACAACATCAAATAATGACAGTGACGCACATGGTTGCCACATTTATTAAAACTACCAGATCCTAGGACGATGCCTTACCGCAACCAACATTACGGAGCGTATGTTTTGTAAACGCTAGAGCTAGTATACATTCTATTTACTACCTAATATCCCTCTTAGGGACTGTAAAGGCAATAATGGAGCTCCATGATCTCGTTCGGTCTCAAAATATTTCGTCCAAGACATGACGAATTCTTTTGCTTGTCATCCTAGAGGTTTCGACATGCTTAGAAGGAAACCTCAAAGTTTTGAGAAAAGCTGTTTTTATAAAATAACAATGCAAATATTAAGGCAAAAAGAACGGAAATAAACCACAAATAAACCACAGCCGTTAGCGTAGTTTCCTGACAGGCACAACACAGAAAACTGTTACCAACATAAATGTACCCGGGAAATTCAAACTATACGCACGAATTTAGGATCTATTTTGCATTAAGGTTGGCATTCAAAGTTATTAAATATGAAGTAACTGCTTTGTTTGAGTGAATAAATTATAGATGTCTCGTACACATTACTTCGGCAAAAACAAAAAAGCACATAGCACATTATAGTTATTCAATGTATTCTTGAAAATATTTTTACGATCAATCTGGCAACGCTGTGATTATTAACAGTGAATTACCATCGCGGAACGCTGCAATCGACGTAATTTCTTCCTGTTGCTTCAAGTTCTAGGTTTTTTTGTACTTGAACCATCGTCGGGCTATAGGGGAAAGGGGGGTCGCCCCACAGACTCTAGCGAGGGAACACGCGTGCATGCAACATGCACACATTCTGGCCCCGCCTTCGAGATCCGCCGGGTGGTACCTCCGCGTTCGACAGTCAGATACCGCCTACCACATACGGGAATCACAGTATCCATAGTCAAGAGAAAAATTCTCTGGAGCCTGGATTCGGATCCGCGTAGCGCACGACTGATTAGTAGACCGATCCAGGTACTGAGCATTCCCAAAACTATAGAAAAATAGACCATTTTGAAAATAGTTTCAGGCTAACGTGACCTTAATTCTCAGCACGGAGGTCGCCAACCTTTTCAGTGTGTTGGGCTACTTTGATAATTTTGGAATAAACCTAAAGTTGGCAAATAATGAATCTGCAGCTTCTAAAAACGCCTGTTTTCTCATTTCCGTTGCAGAACGTAATGATTTTTCGAAATTCGATATTCCTTTTTTTAGCAACGGAAACAGATGTATTACATAAAAAACATACATACCTCTAACTTCAGTGAAGAAATATTGTTCTTCCCATTCAGAATGGAAATGGTATGTCTTCATCTTCTTACTACTGCTCATAATTGTTTTCAAAGTAATCGAGATCGTTCTCGAATAGATCGCTCACCGCAGTGTTGCCGCCGTATGTGTTTATTATGAGGATTTACAAAATTTACGGAAGCTTCTATTTTTACACTTTTTTAGAATATGTTGTGAGCCACCAGAATTGCCTTTGCGAGGCTATCGACAGGTTGGCTACCACTGCTCTAGCATTTAGTGTGTGTGTTACACAATTCATGGGGTGTAAAAATGACAACATTAACGTAGTGTTCCCACCCCAAGCTTCGTGTAAACTGGTAACGTTAGGGATGATGGAGAGCAGTAATAGGTCATCAGCAAGTGACGTATAATTGACGTCTGCGATCAACGTCATTGGTATGTGACATTAGGGGTCATTTTCACGTTACTTTTACGTCATTCAACCTTGTAACGTTGTTTTGACATGCTTGTGCTACCTGGCGAAATTATGTACTGCAACTGATGATTTGCTTGAATTATATTAGATATCAACGAATGTGACAGTAATCCATGCAGTAAACATGAAAAATGCATCAACTTCAACGGTGGGTTCCAATGTGCCCCTCCAATAATCCAATGTAAGAGAGGCATGGAGTTGAACGAAGCAGGAGACCAATGTGTTGGTAAATACACTTTTTCTATTTTCTATTGTCAATTATTTCCTTCTAAACATAACTCATATTGGTATAGGTGCCCAAACTGGACCCCTTGTTAAAATTGTCAAACATCTTCCCATTCCAAATGGCATCAATAACTTTAGACAGTCTCTCAAATCGTATGTTTTCATCTCCTGGGTTTCACCCATTATTCTTTTGGGTTGAAAAGGGATTTCAAAAAAGTAGATAATATATTTCGGCAACTAAAAGGGGTCAGGAAAAAACTACTATTTGCAATTGGCAATAATAGAGTTCATAAACGCAGAGATAATGAGACTAAGGGCCCATTTTAGGAGAGGGCACATTAACGTATGTCCTAGAAGTGTTGACACAGAATTAATTGGCTTTGATTTTAACAAACACAAAATAATATCAAGTTGTCTTTGGACAAAAAGTATGTTTACTTACTTTACTGTCAGTTGACATTCATTGAGGAATGCCCTGATGTTAGATACAAACATTAAGCGAAATTTGCAGATAAAATCCTTGTCTGGTGCGCAATTTCTAACAGGGGCGTATCCCAACCTTTTGTGGGAAGAGTGAGGCGGAAGCTTTGAATAGTCAGAGCGATATTGATAACTGCCTTCCCAAATTGCTTCAGTTTATTTACGAAGACCATGCTAATGACCATATCATGTTTTCATTCGATAGTATAGTTTGGTTAAGTGTTGAGCTGTAATTTATGATAACTAGTTAGTGTTTAAATAAATTCCGATCCGATAAATATTTTGTACCAAAACTTTTAGGTCATACGTTACTATTAAAAAATCATTCAAAGATCATATTTTGGTCAGAACAGCGTCGTGCAATAAAATTGATTTTAGATATTAACGAATGCACAAGAAATCTGCACAAATGCAACCCATCTCAAATTTGCAAGAACTACCCAGGATACTACACCTGTGAGTGTCCACCAGGGCATCACCTGAAAGGAGATAGATGTGAGGATATTGACGAATGCAAAATTTTCAGAGTAAGTAGTCAACTACCAACTAGTACTACTAACATGACTGTTACATGTAGGACTAAAGCACGTACAGGCTATATGACTTTGAAGTTGAGTCATTAATTTTCAGATAATGATTGTAGAAGGAAGATAAACCAAAATATGTGTGTAAAAATAAAAAAAAATGTTACCTTGTTTTATAAAGTATCCTCCCGACAAGTATTTCAGTGCGGACCTGTATTTGATCGTGCGGTCTTGGAGCACCGGCATGCCCTCCCCTGTGAGGTCTTAAGTCACCTGATTCTCGAGCCCTTTGTACTACATTAACAAAGGCACGAGGGGTTGGTTGCACTCGATTGGGAAACCGATCCGCATAAATCCGTGATGCCGCGTAAATAAGAATCATGTCCACAAGTTCAGCATTTTCGTAAACATGTGCCATTTTTTACTTCGTTTGAGCCACGCAAGAAACACCACTATTCACTCACGCGTTACCGACTGATACTGACTGAATACAACTGAATAAAATTGTAAAAACATCGTTCCAAATTCTTTCGCTTTTTTGTTTCCGATGCGATGAACCGATAAGGCGGATTATATCCGTTGTTGCCAAACACGAGCACATAATATTATTATTGAGACAGGACGGTACTCAAACTTCCAAAGGGCTATAACTTTGTTACTTTAATTTTACCAGAAAAATGGTGAAGGAAAAAAACATTTCTTTTGATCAGATCTACTCACTGTTAAAATAAATGACTCAACTTCGAAGGGAAACACCTCAAAAACAGCGCTAAGCGAACATCTATGGGAAACAAGGTATAGGGCAAAATGGGAAAAAGTCTCATTACAACACAAAGGGGATAAAAATTACAAAAGGAAGGTTAAGGTGTCAGCTTATATAAAATTAAACAACAATTCTCTTTCAAGTTCGTCTATGGACTGTGACCCAATTTGGTCGAATATTCTTGAAGGAAAGATCTAATTCATATTCTGCAACTTAACTAAGGGATCATTAGTTTTTATCCAGGCTTTTTTGGGTATCTGCAGAACCGTCCTAAATCATGCACGAACCGAGTGTGCCCTCAGAACATTCTCATGACCTTGCAGAATAATTTAGCCTACTTGACTTTTTTTTGAATATCGGCAACGGTGGTGAGCACATCAAGCTAGCAGCGTGGGGCTCCGCCTTGGATGTTCAATTTCGAGCCATGAATGTCGTGTTGTATGTTGTCTACATAACGCACACGGGTGCAAAATTAACGATAGGTACATATCATCGCTGGAGCTGGTTTGTTCAAAAAACAGTTACCAGTAGGTGGCTTGTGGAGTAGTAATGTTGATACTACGGTGTCGGCAAAAAGGCTCAAAGCTGGCTTAGTTGCCAGATTTCGCCTCCCCACCAGTACTACTACTGACTTCTCTATTTTTCATTTCCAGCCATGTGGCACATATGCGAACTGCATCAACACTAAGGGCTCATACAAATGTGAATGTAAGGAAGGATTTAGAGAGACTAACAACAGTTGTGAAGATATTGACGAATGTGCAGCAGATTTTGGCTTGTGCGAGCACAAGTGCGTGAACACATGGGGTTCCTATAGGTGCAGTTGCAGTCCAGGTTTCACCTTGAATGCAGACAACAGGTACTTGAGAAATCACTTTAGCTAATGCGAGAACCTCGCATTCGTGGAAGAAATGTTCTGGTTCGTTTTTATACCGACGCGGCCATGTAGGCAGAAGCCTAAATGCAGAAAGCAGCGTAATCGCGATTGTTTGATTCATCTGCACAGGGGTCGGTACTATCGTTTTGCACAACTACTAACTGGCCGCAGAGTCCCTTCTCACGTATTTCAGACCTCAAATTGCTTATAATTAGGTCGACTTTATACAGAGTGTCCGCAAAGTTGGGGTTTTCCTTTACACGAGAAAATAAGCAGATTTTGTTAGTAGCATATACACCAATTTCTTAAGAGAACCGAGATATTGGGCTTCGCAGATTCAGTCAAACCTGAACCAAACTGAAGCCGGTCCTGTCCTATCCCTCGGTCACGTCCACAGCGCCAGCGCAAAAGTACAGTTATACGAGATACGATTACGATGTAAATACGGATTTTACAACAGATCCGTACTTCGAATTTCAATTCAACTGGACAGTGAGTACTTTTTCATTTATTTTTTTTTTACTTGTTCGCTCACGTTTCACCACACATCCGCTTTGTTATATCAAGCGTAGTTGTGTCTAAAAAGGAAAACCCCAACTTTGCGGACATCCTGTATAGAAGTTACTACCTTGTTTATTCATAGTGAATAGGACTATGTTGTGCTAGGTACTCATGTATTGATGAATTTTAGAACCTGCACAGATGTGGATGAATGCGAAAGGTTCAAAGACAAGCGGCTATGCATTGGAACATGTGTCAACATTCCTGGTAGCTATAAATGCCAGTGTCCCAAAGGCTACAAGCTCGGAAGTGACAACAGGGTTTGCTTAGGTCAGTATGTACACCTCATATACAGGGTGGTCTGCAAAAAGTAATCATAGAATAAATTTGTGAGAACAATAATACCAAGTCAAACAAGCCTTAGTAAAATTTATGTGACTTGTTAACACGTTGACAGCCACTGCACTTAATTATCATATTGTATGTTGAATCTCGGTCTGTGCGCGGCTTGAACAACATGTTCATATTACAGATATTGACGAATGTGAGCAGAGCAACGTATGTCTTTCAGAAGAAGTATGTCTCAATACTAGAGGAAGCTTCAAGTGTTACTCCATTAAATGCCCAGAAAACTATATCAAAGACGTTGAACACAAAGCGTAAGTACCGATGTGCCACTTGATAGTGTCCTTCAGAGACCTGTACTGGTTGTTTCATACATTTTACATTTCCGGAGATAGAAAGAGAAAAACAGGATTTTTTTCCTGGCCTTGTTTACCTTTTCTTGTCACTCAGTATATAACATGGAGATTATTTTTCAGGAGGTGCAAAAGAATGCAAACGGCTTGTGACCCGAGAGAGTGGAACTGCCAGCTAATGCCAGAACAGTACACCTACCAATACATAACCTTGGTGTCGAATCTTCCACTGACACACGGAAAGATCCAACTCTTCCAAATCAAAGGACCCCAGTGGAACTTTACAAGAGCCGAATTTTCGATGAAGCTACTAGACGTCATCTGCCCCTTTGGAGTTGAGAAAGTAAATGACGTGTTTTTCCACAAAATGACAGATCAGCACACTATGTCTCTGTACTTGGTTAGGTCCATTCAAGGGCCACAAGAGATCAAACTCCAGATTGAAATGAGATTGTACAAAGGAAACGCCGTTCTTGGGAACGCTGTTGTGTATATCATCATTGTGGTATCGGAGTATCCATTTTAGATAGGACTGAGTATGCCCCAGGGCAACTAACTACTTATTGAGAAGCTGAAAATTGAAACAAGCTGTCGGTTTACTCTAGCTGATGTTTTGAATAATTTATATTTTGCAAACATTTATTGTAAAAAAGGTGAACCGTTCTGCACTAGTGTGAAGGAGACCGGTTTTGAAGAAGGATAAGCAAAATTTGACATTTCTTATTCAACATTTTAGTGCAACAAAAAATTAATACCAAATGTGTAATCAGAATCACAATAAATAGTATCTCAAAGCCTGTGTCCAAATTTCTTTAAATTATACAGCCGTGTACAGACCGAAAATTTAACATCAAGCAAACGAATGCAAGCACTTGTGACGTTGGCGTTTGTTGTTGGAAGGTATTGGACCACGTTGGGGTAAGTTCGGTGCTAACAAGACAAACGACTAGACTGTAAAGCGCAACAAATCCTGTCCAGACTAAATCAAACCTCCCTTTGATGTACCGATCAAGGAGCGAACGCAATCGAACACCTACGCCGACATTGGAAACCAAACCAAATCTGTAACCACATATGCCTTGGCTTGCATTGGAATCTAGGTCTGTACGCGGCTTAACCGATTTCCCGAGTATTTTTTGTAGGAACTTGAATTGCTTTTTGTGATATATACGTATCCGATAAGTTGTCATTTTATCCTGGGACGCCTTGTATTGTCCCATCAGCTTGTTACAATTTTTATAGGTACAAATAGGTTTTCGTAATACATGTAGAGGAGATAGTTGTTATTATAGATAAGCGTCATTTTTGTATACAATAACAATATTGACATTTTTCCAAGGTGCCAGACAGTGGTGGATTCCTCGGTTATTATTCAATTGTATCACAAGTTGAATTAGAGATTAATATATTGTTATATGTATAGCATTGTAATAAATACAATGACAATAAATGACATAACATAGTTCTGAATCAACTTATATTATAGGTACTGAAACAGTTCCAGAATACCCATAAAAACATTCCATTTATAATAATCATTTTAAAAAATGCAAACATCAAACTTTAATACCACTTATATTTTTAATGGTATGACTATATGGCAATGAACGTACACACATGGAATGTCATTTGGAATCCAAATAGTAAACGTGATCTAACATTATGTAAATAATATACTAAAGAATAGTTGAAAATAATAGGGCAGATGCTTTTCTCAATCTCGATTTTTTTACTTGGCGAACGACTTCAATTTGCAGACGACTTCCTCTTCAGCGTTCTTCATTTTTAAATGGCCAATACTCCCCACCACTTTTTTGAGCAGGTGATTTCGAATTAATTATATGAAAATAATCTTAGAAATATCTCCCAGATCCGCCCCTGATGATATCCGCACCCTTCACTCAACTAGTCAGTTAACCGATCCAAATTCCACCTTTCACCTTCCATCATAAAAGATAATTTATTCTAAGCTCATAAAAATACAATGTTTATCAGAGATTAATAACTAGAAAGTGATCGAAAAATTGTTTTAAAGTGTCATCAAGGACGTCAAATTTGTTTTATTATATTACGTATTCAATAAAACGCCTATAATCAGATTTATCACCTGAGAACAGTCGAACAGAGTATATTTGTCTATAAATAATACTTCATTCTCATTTGTCTGTCATGTACAAGAAAATGACTGATATGCTTAAAACCGGTCCTGTCACCAAAATTTGAACGAAAGACACTCACTTGATTGGTTGAAATTACTTCTTTAAAATTACAGTATGGATACCTAACGGCAATAACGAAAATTCGGCTTATCTTTATTGGCAAGACATGTTTAATCGTTTGGCAATACAAGTAACTGTGTGGTAGAATTTGAAAACGATCACGTCCATATGTATACAGGGTGACTTCGAAGTTGAGTCATTTATTTTAACAGTCAGTAGATCTGATCAAAAGAAATGTTTTTTCCTTTATCATTTTTCTGGTAAAATTAAAGTAACAAAGTTATAGCCCTTTAGAAGTTTGAGTACCGCCCTGTCTCAATAATAATATTATGTGCTCGTGTTTGGCAACAACGGATATAATCCGCCTTATCGGTTCATCGCATCGGAAACAAAAAAGCGAAAGAATTTGAAACGCTTATCACGATGTTTTTACTACAATTTTATTCAGTTGTATTCGGTCAATGTGTCAGTCGGTAACGCGTGAGTGAATAGTGGTGTTTGTTGCGTCCGTCAAACAAAATAAAAAATGGCACATGTTTACGAAAATGCTGAACTTGTGGACATGAAAAAGGGAACATCTGGTTTTCAAGGCCAGAGGTGGCCATTTGCGCGATATCATTTTCGAAAAGTAATTACAACAAATCTCCTTGGATGAAAATAAAAGATTTTTTAAATGAACAACTAAACATATTTTTATAAACAAATGCTTCCACTTTAAATGGCCCACCCTGTAGTTTGGAAAAGGCAATGTCTCCACTGCACTTTCACCTTTTCAGAGGTTGTACAGATTCTGTGCTGTGTAACTTTTGGATCAGTAAATATTTATTTCTTTTTTAATGTTGTTTTAGTTAACCTTATTTCATGATTAATGCATTACATTAACTTGATGCATTACACGTTTTCCAGTTTTCAAAGAAAAACACTTCGGTACGTCTTTGAACATAGCAGCTCATTTCAGAGATCCTTGACAACGTGAAAATTCCGCATCCGAGGGAGAAATTTCCCGATTTTTTTTTAAGGAAATTAATTTAAACACTTGGCATCCTCGAAATTCCCGACTTTTGCCAAAGTTTTTAAGCTCGTGGTTATACGCGCTGACGAGGTATTCACTTTATTTATATCTACAATACCCACCAATGCCTCCTCACAGAACTTAATTTTTAGTAAATGTTTTACTTATAATGCTACTATCTAATACCAGAGTCTTAAATTTCGAGAATTTCAAAAGTTATCGTATCTGTGTATACTCGTATTATGCATGTGTATACCTGTTTTATATGATATGCATGGACAGAATTCTATAACTATGTACAAATATAATGTTATACTTTTTACGTTTTATCCAATTCAGTGATTTATTGTACTCAATTAATTCGTTCGTATGTTGAAACCTTTGCATTTTTAGTCTGTGAAAGGTTGGGAAATCTCGAAACTGGATACTACAGACCAAAATATGTGAATTGACCTAAACATACTTTAGTCCAAGAGTTGATAGTTTGCGAAATAGGAAACAGGAATCCGTTATTTTTTATGGCCAAGCTTCTAGATGGCACAATAACTTTTTGTGCTACCCTGTATACAACAACTGACCGAAAAATCTTATTTTACAACCCATCGCAGACACCCTGTATATTTTTTATTGCTTATGCTAAACTTCGCCCAATAAAGACGTTTTATTACCATTGTTGTCACTATTATAATTTCAGCAAAACACTGACAACAAATTCGCGCGCCATTTCACCAAGAAACAGGTTTGGGTTGAGATTGTAAAAACCGCTAGACTGTTTTCTTCGATAGCATGCTCGTAATCAAATGCACATGTTTTAACCATCTGTCTCCAACTGGAATAGAATACACAGTCATAACATGATAATGATAATTTGATAATTAGAATAAAAACTCTTATCGCCTAGTCCTTCAGCTTAAGATGTGTCCAACGTGTGATCCCAGCGTGATCGATGCACTGAGATCAATGTATGATCAAGTGAATAAATAAAATGCCTACTTAGCTTATATTATAATAACATCAAGTCGATTGTTGGTGTGCATCTGTTCTATTTATACATATACAGGGTGACTTCGAAGTTGAGTCATTTATTTTAACAGTGAGTAGATCTGATCAAAAGAAATGTTTTTTCCTTTAACATTTTTGTGGTAAAATTAAAGTAACAAAGTTATAGCCCTTTAGAAGTTTGAGTACCGCCCTGTCTCAATAATAATATTATGTGCTCGTGTTTGGCGACAACGGATATAATCCGCCTTATCGGTTCATCGCATCGGAAACAAAAAAGCGAAAGAATTTGAAACGCTTATCACGATGTTTTTACTACAATTTTATTCAGTTGTATTCAGTCAATGTGTTAGTCGGTAACGTGTGAGTGAATAGTGGTGTTTGTTGCGTGGCTCAAACGAAATAAAAAATGGCATGTTTACGAAAATGTTGAACTTGTGGACATGATTCTTATTTACGGAGGAGGGAGTCTTTACAAAATTCTGTCGCGGCATCACGGATTTATGCGGATCGGTTTCCCAATCGAGTGCAACCAACCCCTCGTGCCTTTGTTAATGTAGTACAGGTGACTTAAGACCTCACAGGGGAGGGCATGCCGGTGCTCCAGGACCGCACGATCAAATACAGGTCCGCACTGAAATACTTGTCGGGAGGATACTTTATAAAACAAGGTATCATTTTTTTTCATTTTTTTTTTATTTTTACACACATATTTTGGTTTATCTTCCTTCTACAATCATTATCTGAAAATTGATGACTCAACTTCAAAGTCACCCTGTATATGTCGGCGTCAAACGCTGAAATCCGGCATTCCCTTAAATGCCTAGTCAGTCCGCGTATCGCCGGCAAACACCGTAACAGTTTGATTATTACAACGTTTGACTAAGCATCCCTGTAATGACTGAACAATTTTAGTCAAACACCTTAACAACCACATTAACTTCGTTACTGCATTCGCCTATTTTAGTCAAACGCTATAATAAATACAGTGTTGCTCCAATGAAGTACATTATATAACAAGTTACTACTTTATCAAGAATATTGAAAGAAATATAATCAAACATGAATTAATCTAAAAAGAAAGAAGAATAGATTAAAACGTTGTCCCTATTATTACATTTTTTAATCAAGTATTTATACAGGGTGACTTCGAAGTTGAGTCATTTATTTTAACAGTGAGTAGATCTGATCAAAAGAAATGTTTTTTTCCTTTAACATTTTTCTGGTAAAATTAAAGCAACAAAGTTATAGCTCTTTAGAAGTTTGAGTACGGCCCTGTCTCAATAATAATATTATGTGCTCGTGTTTGGCAACAAGCCCAGCTCTGCGTCGAGCAGAACGGAAATCATTTCGAACAGTTTTTGTGACATGCTTTTGGGCGCACAGGTCCGCACTGAAATACTTGTCGGGAGGATACTTTATAAAACAAGGTAAATTTTTTTTTTATTTTTTTTTTATTTTTACACACATATTTTGGTTTATCTTCCTTCTACAATCATTATCTGAAAATTAATGACTCAACTTCAAACGAAATCCGGCAACAATGGATGCTACTGTTGAGCAAGCCTATGTACGTATAATTTAGGTTAGGTTCACAAAATTATAAAAATTAACTTACCTCTTTAACTCATTCGATGTTATTTTCTTTTCACACTGTCATAGTATTCACTTAGTTTCTTGTAAAACAATTCTGAATGCTGCGACATTTTCACAAACACAGAAAAGACGATGTGTATATGCAAGCAAATGAACACAAAACTGATACAATGAATGACTGAATCAGGCAAATGCAGTAACGAAGTTAATGTGGTTGATGATGTTTGAAATTGTCATTACAGGGAATGACTGAAATGCCTAGTCAAACGTTGTAATAATCAAACTGTTACGGTGTTTGCCAGCAATTCGGGGACTGACTAGGCATTTCAGGGAATGACAGATTTCAGCGCTTGACGCCGACATATACATCAATAATATAAATTTATTTCATTGGAAACATTTGAATTTACCACATAATCAGGCCATTGGTGCGTTTATTTATTTATTATAAAGGGTGGGCCATCCCTAGGTTTCTTTTTGAAATTGGTATTAAATCAACACTCTTCAATAATATGTAACACTCGACGCTTTATTCAAAAGAATACACCTTCCGATTATTGATGAAAAACAATTGGTCTGGCAGTAGTCCATCCTCTTTACCCAATTTTGAAACACATTTTTGATGGTTTGTGGGTCTATTTCATCAATAGTTCGACGGATATTTTCCTTAAGAACATCAATTGTTTGAGGATCGTTAGTGTAACAGCGGTCCTTAGCATACCCCATAGGAAGTAATCCATGGGCGTCAAATCACAGCTGCTGGCTGGCCAATGAACGTCTCTGAAACGGCTGATAACGCGATGACCGAACTTAATGTGTAGATCGATTGTTTCACGGCTGGTGTGCCATGTCATTGCGCCATCTTGCTGGAACCAGAGATTGTGCAAGTGCATGTCATCTAATAGTGGCTACAAAAAACTCCTCAACATGTCTCTATAGCGTTCCAATAATCCCACCACTCCAAAAGCCACACCAAACAGTTGCTCTTTCCGGATGCATTAGTTTTTTTATGATGACAGATACCCAAATCGTACAGTTCTGCTTGTTAACGTAACCTCCCAGATGGAAATGGGCTTGTCCGAAAAAATGACTTGGCGACCAAAATTGACGTCCGTTTCCAACTGATTTAGAGCCCACACAGAGAAACGATATAGAAGTGGATGGTCAACCTTCTTCACAAATTTTCGTATACCAGTCGCGCACGGAGCTTCATTCCGACCAAATAGTCTTCTCAATTTTCGCAAAGTTTATGCAACACAGTTACTCACTTTGAAAACAGTTTTTCAATATTTCCCACCTTTGTTCAAGATTAAAACGATCCATTGCTTACAGCGAAAGTTTTGTCAATATGTTGAGCATGGAACTGTCAAAATAATACCGTCTTAAAAAATCAACTGATAGATAACTCAAAACATGACCATAACTATGAAAAAATGAATTTACGAATTTCGTAGTCATCCGTACTTCAATCGTTTAATTCTACTCGCAGTAATAAGAATTCGATACAGCCCGACTCCTCCCCAGCCCCTTTTCAGCCCATGTGAATAAAACCACTTAAAATATTGATATTTTTAATTTCAACCGCGCCAACACTCTGCTCCCCGGCCCTGTTCCGCCACTGGTTTCCCGTCGCGTCGCGACGATCCGCGTCTGTCGATGCGGCGTAAGGGCGTAAAAATATCCGAGTCCCTCCCTGGCCAAGGCTGCGATTCGTCCGTTGCGCTCAGCCGATCGTCTCGTCATCGAGTCAAAATTGAAGGAGCAATTTACAATTTCTGTAGTCGCTGTCCGCACGTTTATTCGGTGTCTGTCTGGTCTGTTCGTTGTGAACCACTTACGTTAAACCAGTGCTGATTTTCATACGGTTTCGTTTTCGACAGTGGCTATAGCTGATCGGGTTCGAGTCAGTGATAAAGGGTGTGATAACTTGCAGCTATGAACACAAACTACCTCGAAAATATCAGCAATAGTTTAGACGGGAATAGGTAAGACGTCCAATTCTTATTTGTTTATATTAGTCTAGAAACTGCACATGTTTCTTAATCAATCGCGTACAAGTGAAAGTTACCGCGATTTTTTCGATACTGTGCAAAGATCGGCAACACACATGACATAAAGTTAGGTTAGATTTTTGTCATTCAAGGCCTGTCATCTTTGGAATTCCAAGAATTTCAGAAATATTCAGGAATATCACCCACTGACATGTGATCATCTTTCAGAGAATTCGGTGAAACATTTTTAATACTGATTTTTCATTCTTATAAATAGGTGTGAATAAATGTTTATTTTTATACCAATTTGCAAATTGAAAAATCTAGTATGTATTATACAACGTATACAATTTCGAATTAGCCAATAACTAGTGAAATTGCAACATACGCGAAATATGTTCAAGAACAGTGGTATCTAGGCACCTACTCGTACATTTATTTTTATTATAGACAAATTATATAAAATTGTTTTTTATTTTCGCTATTTCAGGTTTTTTCGGATCATTTCGAGCAAAAAAGGGTATTTATTAACGTTTCGAGTTAGAAGCAATTATATATTTATAAAAACCTAAAAATGACAATCTTCATTGCTTGAAAACTCTGTTAAAAATCATCATTTTTAGTTTTCCATGTGTCTGTATTAATGTCCAAACCTTCCCCGAAAAGTATTTAAGGCTTAAGGGTTATCATTTAATTGTTAATAAAGCGATATGATGACGTACGAATACTTTTAACCGAGTTTTAAAGCATTTGTTAATAACTCGAAACGAGCTACTTTAAAGAGAAGGACCTTTTTTGTTAAAAAAAAAACTAAAAAGAGCAAAATAAGCATGTTAGAGCTTTGTTTAAAAAATTGTTTTTTCCATGTCAAGACGCATCCAACAAATTTTAAAATGAAAAAAAAATTGGCTTGGAACATTCCTCCCACGATCGTCTCGTCTATTAATATTAGTTATTCAATTATGAAATAACAATGTTTTTGATCCAATTTATTAATTAGAAATAGTAACAACATTCTTCTGAATGGGTGGAACCAAAACATAAACATTGATTTATCAGCACTTTTAATAGCATTTATTATGAATGATAAGGTTAAAATATTATACCTGCCTATTACACGAGATCCTAAAATATGTGCTTGTATTAGAAATTGCATATTTTTTATGCTTTGATATCACACTTCACGGAAGTACAGCAGAAACTACACAGTAAGTCTGTCATTTAAATACTATATTTGCGAATTACTAGGTCTTTAATCTTCAACCAAATAGGAGAATGTTCAGCGGAGCTCGCTCCAGTTCTTTCGTTATGATGATAGCACTCTACATGCAGGAATCAATCTGAATTCCTGCATGTAGAGTGCTGTCATCAGCAAAGTCGGTGATATGTAAAAGGAACAATAATATTTTGAGTATATAATATTTTTGCGATAGAAATATTGCCACTGTTTTTGAAGTAACCCTGTATATATCAGGCAATGCTAGAAAGTACATAATGTTTCATCAACGGTCAAATAAAGACATAACATACTTTTTAATAAATTTTGATTATAATTCATGCTGAATTACAAAAATAGATTCTGCAATATTTTGTGCTTGAATATTGTGTAATTTTCCACATAACATCAAAATAAATTAATTTAGCAACTACCTCAGTCGTGCTGGTAAAATATTATTGCATAAACGAAATCTTATGTCGATGAAATGTATATATAAATAATATCGCCAACCTCGTATGTGCATATCGCGTCACCGGGCGGTCACCTACCTGCTTTTATGTCCTCGGATCCATTACTAAAGATGTGGCGCACAACAAGTGGGACCGATAGGTAGGCGATCCGTCTGCTGAAAATAAAACCTATAATGTGTTTATTTTTCGATTAAATGTACAAACACACGAAAAAGTCATTTGAAGAGGGAGGCGGCATTCAACACCGTTGCGCTTCCATGCAACCTCCAAAATATACTAAGTGACATATAAATCCGAACACCCAGTTTAAATGGTTTTATTTTAATGAAATTTTGTATAAGTACTTAATGAAGCATAATAAGTAAATGATAAAAATTTCAAAATGATTGCTCTGCTTTAAAGCCCTTTGACCTTTAATAATGTGTGGATGCACCCTGATGTGCTACGCATTCTCCAACGCGCCTAGGCATGCTTCAGATCAGGTGGTCAATGTCCTCCTGTGGTATCTCATTCCAGGCAACCACCAACTCCTCTCGAAGTGCTTCTAGAGTCTGAGGAGGGCGTTGCAAATTGAGCAATCTCCTACCCATCATATCCCTCACGTGCTCAATTGGGGATAAGTCGGGAGATCTTGGTGGCCATGGTAACAATGTGACATCATTATGTTGGAAGAAGTCTATTGTGACTCTTGCAGCATGTGGTCGGGCATTATCTTGTTGGAAAGTTGGATCTTCCAGGGTGTCAAGATAGGGTTCTAGAACTTCGTGGATATAACGCTGCGCGTTCATGTTACCTCTGATGAAGATTAAAGGTGACCTGGAACCATAAGCTATAGCACCTCAAACCATCACTCCAACAGTGTGATGAACATGTCTTTCAACAAAAAACTGTGGATTCCTCCTTTCACCACGTCGCGTTCTAACCCTGGCACGACCATCGTGCATGCCTAAACAAAATCGAGACTCGTCACTAAAGACAATACTGTTCCATTCCTGATCCCAGAGTGACCATTGTCTGCACCACTCAAGGCGATTACGTCGGGAGGACCCAGTGTGGCCGGTATGAAAACAAGGCAAAACTTCTCATTCGTCGGTAAACACTTCGCATGCCAATAGGTCTTCCGTGTTCTGCAAACCATTCATTTGCAATGGACCTGGTAGTGGAGAAACGGTCCCTTAAGGCCAATAATCTTAGGCGGCGATCTTCACGGTCTGTTGTTCTACGGCGGCGTCCAGTGCCCCTTGCTCTTTGCGTACGGCCTTCTCGAAGCCATGCCTGACAACACCTAACCACAGTGTCTACACTTCTTTGCACTCTAACTGCAATTGCCCGAAAAGAAAGTCCAGCTTCCCGAAGTCCCACTATACGGCCCCTATCAAACTCACCAAGTTGACGAAATCGTACAGGTCTCCGTACTCTACAGTATATTCAGATAAAAGATAGACCGGATGTAAACAAAAGGTTCGGGTGATTTTCACGCTAACGCCGCCGTCTCGACGTAAAACAGGAGCCCTCATTGGTCAATTCGCAATTAAATGCCTATGCCGAGCGGCAGAGCAGTCGTATCAAGGCAGAGTCACATTCAGGTTCAGACGTGTTACGTATGTCGTGTGCATCATTGCAATTTGATATTTCTTTGGACGTTTTCGTTTGTTATCTTATTAAGTTGTTGAGTTTGTCGTTGTTATTGTTATACCTTGTTATTGATTGTTATTGTTCTCAACTGCTTGCGCAAAATGCCCAGTAGTACAGATACTGCCGATGAAGTTGTAAACTCCTGTAGTCCACCTAGGAAACGCTCTAAAAAAAGACACCTGAGTGCAAAAATGAAAGAGGTCATTTTGAATATATATAAGATCGAGCGCGAGGAGAACGAGGCATCAACCATCAAAAAAATTGTTGTGAAGGTTTCTTACAAAGTTGGGGTGTGTCGCGCATCAGTGTTTAATGTGTTAAGACAATACAAAAAAAACCACACCTTTTCTGCGCCAATGACCAGTAAACATCGCAAAAGTATTGTTAAATCATTGGATGAAGCTGATAAGCATGCGGCATCCGAAGCTGGAAATCGAAGCGAAAATTTTGAAACCCTTATGTATATTTACATCATTATATATTTCTTACCCCACCCCCACATGATCCTATATCCATCATCAATCGTATACACATCGAATTGTGCTAATTTACTACAAAGTTACGCAAAGCAGCATCTACTATCTAAAATATGTACTGCGTGACTCTTAATACGTCCCTGCCGAATGTTACAGCGTTCGATGATCACGTGGTCTTGATTATGTCCGGTCTATCTCTTATCTGAATATACTGTAGGCATCGTAACCGATCGTAAAGGATGTCAAGAACCAAAATCCGCCAACGTTGATTCTTTACTGCGGCTGAAATATTCATTTTTAGAGCGTTAGTGAATTAAAAAAAAAAGCAGTATAAAAACCGGAATGTCCAACTGATAAGGCTGAAAATTTCTTCACTTGTTATTTACAGTAAGATAAATACATTCACCAACTTTTATTAAAATAAAACCATTTAAACTGGGTGTTCGGATTTATATGTCACTTAGTATATGTCTGATACGTGCGTAAAATTACCAGGGTTGGAAGTGTATTAATATAAAAACATGAAAAAAATGCGATATAGGTGCTCTCCCCCCTACCACCTCTCACCCTCCAATATTTTACCCGAGAAAGATTTTTCAGCTTCTGTAGTTAGCACTTTACTCAGCTGCCATTGAACCGATTTCGTCATATAACACCCAAAAAACCTAATATTTCAATTTCTAATTTTTTGCAATGCTTTCTCACTAGTAACAGCCCAATAATGTACAATTAATCCAAAATTCTAAAAGGTGCTTCTTTCAGGATTACCCTAGTAGTAAAAATATTTTTATTCATACTTATACGTTCTAAAAAAGTCCAACCATTGATTGATTCATTCTGAGATCTGCAAAATTAAGAACCTACAATGTACTACCTATACATATAAATAATATGATTATAATATTCTATCAAATAGTTACTTTCTAAAGATAAAAGACCTTGTCCCAGGCAGATAAGGAAGTACTTTGGTCGTGATATTGAAACCGAAACCACGATGTTATTTTATGAACCGTGGACAACTATGTTTATTTGATCAGTGATTTCACCAAACATCATAGCATCTTGTTATATTTGTGACTTGGAATATCGGCATATTATAAATAGGTATGTCTCCATCTTTCTTATCTTGATTACTGACTAACTTGCAGTAAAACCGTACATTTGTCAGAAAATCAAAAATGCTGAAATTTCGGACGTCTCGAGATATACATATAAAGGTATAGTACAAAGTTTAAAAAAGGTGAAAATTAAAATTAATATTCTGCTTCTGCTTTTTATCTACAATATGGCGTTTTGAGAATCAGCAATTATGAAAGTAAATCCTCTCTACT